CCTATTGAACAGATTATGTACTGTTAATTTATTTTGTGATATATTCAGTTTGTATGATTTCTAAAATAATTGAATTTTATTGCATTTGAATTATGCATCTGAACATGGTTGTGAACTATAATGATGTATGTGAGTATGAATTGGACATCTCAGGGAGAGATGACTGGAAGTGATTGTGTAGGGTGTTGTTGTTGTTCTGTATAACTGTAGTGAACTTAGGATCGGTATGTCTATCCCTACACTCAAAGCATTGTTCATGCTCACATAGAGAAGAACAGTGTCAGTGGTGAGAGTAGAGGGAGGTCCTCGTCTATAGCCGTTGATGGCAGAGATAGGCAGGTTGGGGATTTACCTTGCTAGTGTTGGAGAAAGACCAGGAGAACTATGCAAGTGCACAGACTACTGTTAGTTCGACAATTATACAAATCCGGATGAGTCGTGTGAGTGTGTGAGTTGTATGAGTATGCTTTAATTGTTCCTTTACATGTTTCTATGCATGATGACCTGAATTAACTGTACTATATGTATAACATGCTTTTTATATTTAGCTCACCCTTGCATTGTTTGTGTTGTGTGCTGTTTGGGTATGTTTTTTTGGCGATGATCATCCACTTGGATGGGAGCAGATGTTGTCGAGGAGATTCCTTTGAAACAAGAGCTGGAGGATTCCGAGGTTGCGGTGTAGTCTTATTAGGAATTTTCCTATTCGAACACTTGTAGTGTTCATCCCTTAAACTGTTTAAGTTTAAATTCTGTTTCTTTTATTTTTGGATGACTGTAATTTCATATTTAATTACACATCATACTATGAATGTTATCTTTATTTGGATGTTGACGTCCTTATTATATAAGTTGTTATATAATTGGGATGTTACAAAAATAATATTTTATTAATAAATAAAACAATTTCTATTCTCCCACACATAAGAAAGTATTTTAATTACAAAAATAATAACAAAATATGTCAAATATAAGATATCTTATACAATAGTATTCAAAATTTAATTTATAGTATGGATTTAGGTCCATTTCTGGTCTACTTCTTGAAATTGACCTTTCGACATTTTATTTGCTAAAATGCGCCAAATTGGGTTAATATCAAAAGAATAATAACATTTGATGTTATCTTTGAGCATGTATTTTGTAAACAATTAGTGAAATTTTAAGTGTGGTTTGATCATTCATTCTATTTGAAAAGAGTCTTCTGATTGATAAGAGGAGAAGACTTATCAATGTCAACAAGAAAGTTTAGATTTATAAGTGAGAGTAAATATGTTTATTATAAAGTGAATATTTCTTTAGAAACACTAGTAGTATTTATAAGATCAACATGGGTCGTGAGTCTACCTATTACAACAATACTTATTATAATAAATAGTAATAAAGTAATAAATAATAATCAATCATACCAAACTACGAAGATTTAATTATAATATGAGAATATGATCCAAATAGACGTAAGTTGGATTGTTCCATAATAAAGAGCCTTATTGAATCATGCTATTTAATATGCCTATTGGACCGGGTACGAACATAAGCCCCAAAGTTTTGGGAGTTTAGTTTGGTGTTTGAGGTCAAATTAGACCCTATGCCTACTTATGCGGCCTTTTGATGGACAAACCATGTTTGCAGGTAGATTGGCTCTAAGGCTGTATTTATAGGCAAACTGGCCTTGAGGCCATATTTATTCAATTTACAGGGGCCGTTAAGGGCGAGTTCGTTATGTGGTCATTGGCCATGGAGGCCAATCTTGTTTAGCTTGGTCGTTGAGGCCATGTGTTTTCGAGTGACTAATCTAGTCGAGCTCTTTATAAAGTAGGTTGGCCTTGAGGTCGAATTCTTTGAGTGACTAATCCAATCGAGTTCTTGAAGTAGGTTGGCCCTAAGGCCAAGCTCTAGAAGTAAGTTGGCCTTGAGACTGAACTTTTTGAGTGGCTAATTCAGTTGAGCTCTTGAAGTAGGTTGATCTTAAGGCCAAGCTCTTTGAGTGACTTGTTAACAAAGGAAGAACTGAAGTCAAGAGTGTTTTGATGATGAATTTAACACTTTGTAATTGAAGTTAGAAAAATTTGATGTTCACTTTAAAGCTTTTGTAATATATAATTTATAATTGTACATTAAACTTATCTTAGAAAGATACACAACAAGTTGCATAATCTACTAAAACAAACATTATTTCATAAACATTCTGGAATAATCGAACAAGTGAATATGGATTATCCTAATTAATTTCAGAATTGGCAAAAAGACTATGATGATAATAGATTTTTTAAAAAAAAGTATTTTTCAAAAAAGTCTATAAAACAATGGATTATCACTTATGATAATCGATTATCACTTATGATAATCGATTATCAGTGACAATTGTAAGATGACTCTTCAATTTTCTGACCAACTTTTAAATTTGGCCTATAAATACACTGTGAAAAGTTTAATACATTTGCAAGAAAATTTTTTTTGTGGTTTAAAAAAGATCTCATGTTGTTAGAAGAAAGTGTCTTCACTAATTAATTATAATTTGTGATTTAGAGATATTATTATTTTACAATCTTTTAAATCTACTTGGGAAGACTCTTGACTTAAAGATAAGACTAGTACGAAAACATTTGAAGTGCATTCATTTCAATAATACTTCTACCAAAACAATTATATATCTTATAAATATGAAAATTATTATACTTATGTCAATTGTAATGTTGATCCATATGCACAATATTAACATTGTCTTTAAATTTATCAAAAATATTTTTTTCTTTCAAAGTGAAAACAACATAAATTCTTTTGATAAATTAAAAAAAAACAATTTGCTTTATATGACTAAAAAAGTATCTCATTCTTCTGTCCATAAATATAATATATTTAATGTTAAGATAATAAACGTATATTTTTTTCAATTACAAAAAAAAGTTAAAAAAATCATAGATAATATCCTACAACGTATAAAAATAAAAACACTAAATATATAATAATATAAATAATAATACTAAAATAATAATAATAATAATAATAATATAATAATAATAATATAAAAGAGTCACAATCATAATTTATCAAAAAAAATTGTAGAAAAATCTTAAAAAAGGAAATGGTTTGAGAAACCAGATTATGTCAGGGAGTTAGTTATTTGAGATGAACAGGTATAATGTGTGAATCAGTTTGTTTTAATTGAGTGTGCAAAATTAATGTAATATGTATTTTCATTCACAATGATAAATTAAGATTACATATTTTTTCATAAAATTATTTGAAAATATTTTTGGGTAACCGATAAGATTTTACATTATTATTACATATTCACAATGGAATATCAATTATCACATAATTCTTAATAAAAAAAATTGTTTAATAGTTGATATTTTTAATTTTGAAATTTAAATCTTTTTTGAGAATTTTTTTAATATTTCTTTTTTAATTCACATGATAATTATTTTTTAATATTTGTATGAACAAAAATTCAATTATTAAATTCGATACCCATGATAACTAACAATTTTTGACATTATTATAAAAAAATTGTAATGAATTTTATCTTAAAATATGGGTGCCAAATAATAAAAATGAGTAGTGGTATGAAGAGTGAAATAAGGATTGTGAAAATTAAAAGAAGGGTTCACCCCAAAACTGTTTTAAAAGAACAAACAAAATAAAATTGAGTGCAATAAGTAAAAGCCCGGGATACAAACAGTGTAAACCTAACAACGAGTGGGCTGCAACGCAGAATACAACCAACAGATATTATAATGCAGGTGCACAAAGTAAAAGGAACCAGCCCAACATCTAACATAAAGGGTGGAGGATACAAAAATGGGAGTAGATCAAGCAAAGAGTGGCCCAGGTTTGCTTAACTCCATCTCCTTCGATCACGAAGGTAGCCATTCCTCCTCCATTAAGATCTCCATCTCCTATTTTTTCAGTAAAACGATTTTCAACTACAATTTACTATTTTTTAATCTTTCTAAAATTTAATTATGTCAATGTTTTAGAAGTGAGAACATTTATTAGCTTTAATCACCAATCATTATTAGCTTCTAACATTAGTCATGCACAACAACAATTAGCTGAAATTATGTGAAGAAGTTAAACAAGCAACTCACAGATAATGCACTACATATAAAATGAATTAAAGGTGTGCGCTATAATTTATATAATTTTAAATATTAAGTAATTTAAATATTATAATTTAAAGATCAAGCCAATACAAACTTAATTAAATATTAAAGATAAAATAAGTGAAATATTGATTAAACGTACAAAAAAGTATCAATTACTATACAAAATATATAAACATATGAATCTAGTGACATTTGTTTTTGCTGTTTTTAGTTGGATTGACCCAGAACCTCTAATGTAGTTTGTTTATAGAATTTGAAAAAGAAAAAAAATATAAAAATAGTTTTTTATTTGTCATTTTTATAAGCAAAGAATTATATTAAAAAGACATTTGGAATGCACCAATCCATGATATACCGAAAGGTTGCAATCAAAACATAAAGAGAAAAGAGCATGAGAAAAGTAAAGGTACAAAAAAGAAAAAAAGCAAATGAAAAATACATGTGTAACATCCCAAAAATATAATGTAAAACCATATAATAGGAACATCACATTTATAATACTACAGATCAGTTCTTACAAAAGATAGGACGTACGGTTATGACTGAACGACCTTACAAAATAGCATGGAGTTAAAACTGTACAATGGTTACAACTAGAACGAACGGTTTACAAAATACTTATACCGAACGTTCCTACAAAAGAAGAGACCAACAATTGACCGAACGTCCTAAGGTTCAGTTTTCACTTCCACCTCTTGTAGTGCTTCTTCCAGCAACTCTTCTCCTTCTGCTCACATCCACACGGATGATCATTGCAACAGGACAAACGAACGAACGAAAAAAAAAGACAAGAAAGGAAATAGGGTAAGCTTATGTAATTTAATTCATTCAATAAAACATACAATTTTCATCATTCAATCGAACAATAACCAAATCAAAATTCATGCATCATGGCATGCCAATAACGACCACTTGACTCTGATTGTCCAGACTGTATAAATTCTGTGTAGCTACGACGTTGTTGCACCTGTGGAAAGGTAATCTGAAAAACCATCAGAATTACCATAGTTGGGAAACCCAAGTCTACACATGAGTTTAGTCCGATAGCTAGAACCCCAAGCTATACGCAACCAGGCCTCCTGCTATTCTCACCACATGCGCCACCATTCTCTACTTGAGACTCGGTGACCATTAGAATGTTAGGATGAACGACAACTTAGTCTGACCACATTCATACTTTACCATTCCAATATCAATTCATGAGATATTCCTCCCCGAAATACTCTTTCATATTCATACTCATTTCATCTACATCATATTCCATCATATTTCATTGTCAAAACCTCAAACCGAACCAATTTGAATACAGATCCCATAGGATACCGAATACCGAACGTTAATCTTCAACCCCGAACGAGATCGAACACTTGGAGTGAGACCGAGAGGTCTCTAGTTCCGAAACAGATTAAGATCAAGAGAGTTACTAACGGGGTTGTGAAAGAGACCAATTACAATAATACCTCTCAAAGACTAATAGAATCAAACGTTATTTACAAGGTGAGCCAATTTAATGAACTGACTCATGAGAGTTTAGACCGAATGCCAATAAGCCTAGGCCGAGTACTAAGACTCTAGGCCGAACACCATAGAAACTGATACTGTAAAACATCAAATAATAATAAGTGACGGAAGTATATGAAGAAACCGACCGCTATAAATACTTAGCTTATTTATGAGTTTAATATCAAGGAAAACGAGTTCTAGTTGAATACCGAGCACTGTAGAGACCAAACGCTATTGGGTTTGGCCGAATGCTCTTATTTTAAAATCATATTACTGAATCAAGGTCGAGCGCTTGGTTTAAGACCGAGCACCACTTAGTACGAGTACTTGGTGTAAGACCGAGCACTACTTAGTACGAGCGCTTGGTGTAAAACCGAGCACTACTTAGTACGAGCGTTTGGTGTAAGACCGAACACTACTAAACTTATAGAATAAAGGCTTAATAAATATAAGATATCATTTAACTAGTGTTCAAGAACGAACGAAATATACAAATACATATAGATATACTGAAGTTTATAACCAAATACCAAGGAACGACTACCCTTGGCCGAACGCTCATGTACAACTATTACAAAACGAAGACGCTCGTCCTCAACTGGAATTCTCTCCAAATGAAAGAATCCCGCTCCAACCTAGTCCACAAGAAAACTGAGCACTATATCGAACGAGCACTGGTCTAATACCAAACAGTTATTAAGAACGAACGCTACTAAAAACGAACGCTTGGTCCAAGACCGATTACTCAAGTATAACTGAATGGTCAATACTGACTCTCGATCACAGTTTACATAATACAACAGAGTATTACAGAATGACTCTCAGACAACATCCCTACCCATTTCATGGCTTTCATTAATCATCAGTACTTTTAAATAACATACAATATTTCATCATCAACCAAATCATCGAACACAATATCATTCCAGTTTCTCATCTTTTGGATTCATATACTCATATAGCCAACAATGCAGTAACAACCATATTTCATATTCATTCAGAAATCAACGAACATGCATCCATTCAAAACAAGAATCTTAATCAAATTATATAAGCTTCCCTTACCTCTAAGCGTAACCAAACGTTCACAATTTGAATAGAATAGCTCACCACCAATTTCTTAGAAGACTACGATCGCGATTTACGAAACTAACCAAATGAAAGACCAGAAAGGCGTTCAGAAAGGGGTTAAGAAACTCATGCAACCGAAAACTGAGTTTGCATGTACAGAAAAACTACTCGGCTGAGGGAGAGATGAACTTACCAACTCGAAATAAAAAACTGATCGGTTCAAATGAACGCCCTCGACGTTGGGAATGCTCAGGTGTGGTCTGTTTGATGATCAGAAGAAGAAAAGAGTAAGATTTCTTAGAGAGAAGATGAAGAAATCTAGAGAGAATGAGGAGAAAATGAAAGTTCATAACTTTGGGGAAGAAGGGTGCATGTAGAAGTGGCGTGAATTTCTGAAAACTTTGAGTTTTACTTCTACTGTCAAAACTGAACGTTCAATCTCCTACAGCCACCTGTTTTCCACTCTGAAATTCTAAACTCTCTTCTTGACACTTGACTTCCACTCAAATAGAATTTCTTAGTGGGTTTTTAAGGATATGACAACATGATTATCTGAAGAAAAAAAAGTAACAATAAAACGTAAAGAAATTTCTTTTCAAAAATAAAAGTTAAATAAATCTACAATTGTAAAATTGTTTATATTGAGGATGATCCGTTTCACACTGTCTCAACGAGTGATGCGTTAAACTTAACAAATTTTATTATAATAGACTTTAATATTATATTAGAAAATGAATTTAAAATCAATCAAGAATAAAATCGATTTATAAAATAATATTTATTTTGACTTATATACCTAATTGTGATTGTTCTTAATAAAAAATAATATAAATTTATCGAAGTGAAAATGACAAGATTTCAAAAAAATACAATTTTCCTCTATAAAAGTTGATTGTCAAGTTGTTAGTAATAACTGATGAGAGATCAACGAAAAAGAAAATAGATCTCTCAAGGTAAAAATGGTGAAACTTTTATATGTACTATTGTTACCTGATGTGACGATAATTTATTTTCAAACTTGATCAACGAATTACTTTAATATAATGTGATGATCTTTTATTCTCAAGCAATCTCACATTATTAAGTACAACATCGAAGTAGTTTGATAATATATGATGATTCTTTATTTTCAAATGATTTTAAATCATTGTGATAATTGTTTGTTTTCAAATGTTCGAATCAATATGATGTTTGTTTAATTTTAAACATCTTCATCATCAATTACTTTGATTTGATGTGATGGTCATTTACTTTTAAATAGTTTTCAAATGATCAACGAATTACTATCTAACGTGGTGGTAATTTATTTTCAAACATGATCAACAAATTACTTTAATTCGATATAATCATTATTTTTCAAGTAATCTCACTTTAAGTACAACATTAAAATACTTTGATATGATATGATGGTCCTTTATTTTCAAATAATTTTAGATTACTGTGATAATTGTTTCTTTTAAAATATTTGAATCAATACGATGATTATTCAATTTTAAATAACTTCATCATCAAACTACTTTCTTCGAAGTGAGGATTATTTACTTTAAAATGACTTAGATTAAACATCAAATTACTTTGACATGATAATGATTGTTTATTTTCAAACAACATATTAGTTTGATTAAATATAATGATAGTTTATTTTCAAACTACTTTGAATTAAACACAATCAAATTAATTTAACATGATATAATGTTAATTTATTTTTAAAAAATTGTAAAATAAGATTTACTCTTAATTATTTTATCTTATCTTTAGTGTACAACATTTTACTAGAAAAATAATATTAAAAATTAATATATTTTTTTTATAATTTTAACTTTTTTTTTTCTTTATATTTAAGTGACAAAAAAAACATATGAAGTCTGAAGAAATAATTTTTATTTGTTGCTGAATAAAAAAAAACACTTTCTTTTCCACAATTTTGTTGCTGAATAAAAAAGAAACACTTTCTTTTCGTCAATTTATAACAATTATTTTTACTGTATAATTTTCTTTTATATTCTACATGTATAAATAATAAGTTGTTCTTGGACATATACTACAATAATTAATGATACATTTGAAAATATATGCATTTTTAATAATGATCAAAAATTCAAACACAAAACACTTTATTGCTTCGTACACATCATACAATGTGGTGAAGACAACCATTAATTATGTCAAAATTATGATACAATGTGATATTTTTTTTAATAATATGCTAATGTACATGTGCAAAGTAATGAGTTAGTCAAGTTTAGGCATACCATAACCTCTACACAAGATGAAGTCCAATATTCTAAAGTGAGAAAGAAGATAGAAAAATAATGGATTGAAGCCCGTACATAAGAAACCCACTTGGTTTTGCAGCCAAATAGGAGAAAGGATGCTGCAGTCAAAATCTTAAGATAACAGTTTATGGATCTTTCATTAGTTTTGTCATTTTTATCCTATGGGAGACTTTAATTCACTTAGATTATTTCCATCAAAGAAGCCCTCTCGTAACCTCAAAGTCTCTGATTTTGTTGCATCAAACAACACTGCTGAGGTTCATTATCAGCACCGTAAGCCTTTCGTTTTCCAATAATCTAACATTAACCCGTAACAGCTTGAACAATGCCAGACCCGTTGATCTTTCTTTATCATTTTCTTCCACTAGTTTCATGTGTAGTTGCTCCAACAAAGTATATCATGAAAAGAAACAGTTAACAACACATGTACAGGTTATATAGTATGAATTAGCATATAAGTACTCGGCCGTTATGTAGTTTGTGTGATAGGAAATGATTTCTTCTTAATTTTCTCTAGGCTCCTCCTTTTATATATAGATATATATATAAAGTCAAACAGATAAGCAGTGCTAAAGGATAATGAGATGAAATAAAAGGGGTAAAGAAGGATGTTTCATTAGTTGTAGATGCGCTTACCAAACATGTTGCTAATGTTCATAAAAAAGAGTTTTTCAGTATCCACAGTAGCCATTTTGTTGTTCAGATGAGGAGAGCGGTTTCGGCCGTGGCCATTTAAAACAGTCAAGTGAACTGATAAAGAAGATAAAGTTTACGTGAGTGGCGTGTATGGTATAGTGATGATAGTAGAAAGGTAAATGCCTAAGTTATGATATGATAGAGAACAAGGGTGAATACCACTCTTGTATTCTGTTTTATTCTATTTCTGTTTCAGCTTTGGAAAAAAAAAATTGAGTGGTAATAATATAGTTAGAGTTGAAAATTTTACTGGACTGTGTAATTACTGTTTTATTTTTCTGATATCAAAGGTCCTGTGCTAATTGTTGTGATTGATTGGGAAAAAAAATTAACAGGAAGAAAAGTCGAATAGATATGAGAGATAATATTTTGAGGTCGTTTAAGTTTATAGAACTTCCTAACGACTCCTTATAATATTTTTATTCAACCATTTAATTTATTTCTTAATTTAATGTTTTATTCTTAATTAATCACAGCTGTCAAATGGTTTTCTTTATAAAAGTTTGGTGTTAAAATAATTTTTTCCAGAGGAATTAGATTCTGAAGTACGTTAATTAGTTGATGAACTCGATTTGGTATGTTAGAGTTCGAAGATAGAAAAATGATCGAAGCTTGGTACATTTTCAATGGTGTGGACACAATTTTCCAATTGTTTATCCACATATGTCTTACATTAGACGCAATAATGCTTTTGCCTACAATTAAATTAGATTGATTCACTATTACAAAGCATAAAAAACGAAATAAAAAATCTCTAAAAATCTGGAACAGACTCGACTCTATTCAAAAATAATAGAATGAGAATCCTATAGCATTTTTTTCTTAGAATCCTAAAGCATTTTCTTAAGAAATGTGAAGATTTGCAGCGAACAAACTTTAATGGTTGCTTCACAAACTTGTCATACAATGTGGGGGAGACAGAAACCGCGGACTCAAGTTTGGGACGATACCATCTAGACCAAATGAGGTCGTCGAAGAAGCTAAATTGAAAGAGAGGAAACAATAGTAATGGGAAAACCCCTATTGAAGCCACTACATATGAAACCCACTTGCTTGTGTCTTCAAATATCAGAAAACATGCTGCAGAGAAAGCCACAACCATAGTAGCAACAGAGATTATTAGCAAAGCATGTCCAAAAGTCAAGCTGGGATGTAATGATATCACAAATTCACTTTCTGCAAATCTTGATGAAGTGAAATTTGACAAGAAAGAGAGTATAGAAGCAGAAGAACTGAATAATGCTATTGCATTTGTGATGATGAAGACAACAAACCACTCATTTTTCTTACCACCTGGAACCGTCAGAGCAGCTGCAAACGCTACTGTAGCAACAAGTGTTGCCACAACCATTCCAGAATTCGCCATTCCTTTGGCTGATTCCTTGATCTCATCAGATAACTTCTTGTGTTCATCATAAAATACATCGATCGGTCTCTTTCCCTTCTTGTTTCTCACACTCCTTAATTCACTAGGAACTTTTTTTTCTACTTTCTATTTATCAACCAAAAGTAAGAGTCAAGATTTCTGGAACTGATGTCTTACAATACTAACTAATAATGAATGATTGAATAAGAATAAGGAAATGAATGAATTCTCACCTTGAACCATGCAAGCTCTTTTTGCATTTGAATGCTTGCTCTTAAACCTGATAATGCCTGGAATTGAAGTGGTAGATGCGCAGCCATGTGCAGAAGGGTGTTTCCTTCAATGTCCACTGCTCCTATTATCTGCTTTCTCTTAAAATCTATAAACCTAAAGTAATCAAAATGTCGATATTGAACAAGCAAGTGTCCTAGGTTCTGTCCATTATTGGGATCTTTTATGAATATTTGAAAATTTTGACTAAGAAGCAGTTTCACAGCCGAATCGTGTCCTGATTTTATTGCATCAAACAACACTGACGAGGGTTGAGTGATCAAATCCAAAATCTGTTCCTTTGGCAATGTCGTCACCTCAAGCCATATCATCGTAAACAATCTCAGATCCTCTGATATTTCTTTGTCATTGTCGTCCTCTGATCTCTTGTCTTTCGTGTTTTCACTGTCGTTTTCTGATTCCGAGTCTTCACTGTAGTCCTCTGATTTCATGTCTTCACTATCGTCCTCTGATTTCAATCTCATGTCTTGATTGTTGCAAGAAATTATTTACATAAGAAGAAAGAAAAAAGATGAACTGTTATTAATTAGGAAGCAACATTCTTCCTGTTTTTTTGTTTTATCTCAATTTAAGATATTTATAATTTACTCTTTGCATACAAAAAGTGTAAGATATTTACTCATCAGTTCATAAACTTTTGTATTGTCAGACTATCTTAACAAACATGTAATATAATACCATTATAGCACTGAATATTAACAATTATGGAGTAATTGATCCTATCTTTTTGTTTGCATAAATGCANGGCCTCCTGCTATTCTCACCACATGCGCCACCATTCTCTACTTGAGACTCGGTGACCATTAGAATGTTAGGATGAACGACAACTTAGTCTGACCACATTCATACTTTACCATTCCAATATCAATTCATGAGATATTCCTCCCCGAAATACTCTTTCATATTCATACTCATTTCATCTACATCATATTCCATCATATTTCATTGTCAAAACCTCAAACCGAACCAATTTGAATACAGATCCCATAGGATACCGAATACCGAACGTTAATCTTCAACCCCGAACGAGATCGAACACTTGGAGTGAGACCGAGAGGTCTCTAGTTCCGAAACAGATTAAGATCAAGAGAGTTACTAACGGGGTTGTGAAAGAGACCAATTACAATAATACCTCTCAAAGACTAATAGAATCAAACGTTATTTACAAGGTGAGCCAATTTAATGAACTGACTCATGAGAGTTTAGACCGAATGCCAATAAGCCTAGGCCGAGTACTAAGACTCTAGGCCGAACACCATAGAAACTGATACTGTAAAACATCAAATAATAATAAGTGACGGAAGTATATGAAGAAACCGACCGCTATAAATACTTAGCTTATTTATGAGTTTAATATCAAGGAAAACGAGTTCTAGTTGAATACCGAGCACTGTAGAGACCAAACGCTATTGGGTTTGGCCGAATGCTCTTATTTTAAAATCATATTACTGAATCAAGGTCGAGCGCTTGGTTTAAGACCGAGCACCACTTAGTACGAGTACTTGGTGTAAGACCGAGCACTACTTAGTACGAGCGCTTGGTGTAAAACCGAGCACTACTTAGTACGAGCGTTTGGTGTAAGACCGAACACTACTAAACTTATAGAATAAAGGCTTAATAAATATAAGATATCATTTAACTAGTGTTCAAGAACGAACGAAATATACAAATACATATAGATATACTGAAGTTTATAACCAAATACCAAAGAAAGACTACCCTTGGCCGAACGCTCATGTACAAATATTACAAAACGAAGACGCTCGTCCTCAACTGGAATTCTCTCCAAATGAAAGAATCCCGCTCCAACCTAGTCCACAAGAAAACTGAGCACTATATCGAACGAGCACTGGTCTAATACCAAACAGTTATTAAGAACGAACGCTACTAAAAACGAACGCTTGGTCCAAGACCGATTACTCAAGTATAACTGAATGGTCAATACTGACTCTCGATCACAGTTTACATAATACAACAGAGTATTACAGAATGACTCTCAGACAACATCCCTACCCATTTCATGGCTTTCATTAATCATCAGTACTTTTAAATAACATACAATATTTCATCATCAACCAAATCATCGAACACAATATCATTCCAGTTTCTCATCTTTTGGATTCATATACTCATAAAGCCAACAATGCAGTAACAACCATATTTCATATTCATTCAGAAATCAACGAACATGCATCCATTCAAAACAAGAATCTTAATCAAATTATATAAGCTTCCCTTACCTCTAAGCGTAACCAAACGTTCACAATTTGAAAAGAATAGCTCACCACCAATTTCTTAGAAGACTACGATCGCGATTTACGAAACTAACCAAATGAAAGACCAGAAAGGCGTTCAGAAAGGGGTTAAGAAACTCATGCAACCGAAAACTGAGTTTGCATGTACAGAAAAACTACTCGGCTGAGGGAGAGATGAACTTACCAACTCGAAATAAAAAACTGATCGGTTCAAATGAACGCCCTCGACGTTGGGAATGCTCAGGTGTGGTCTGTTTGATGATCAGAAGAAGAAAAGAGTAAGATTTCTTAGAGAGAAGATGAAGAAATCTAGAGAGAATGAGGAGAAAATGAAAGTTCATAACTTTGGGGAAGAAGGGTGCATGTAGAAGTGGCGTGAATTTCTGAAAACTTTGAGTTTTACTTCTACTGTCAAAACTGAACGTTCAATCTCCTACAGCCACCTGTTTTCCACTCTGAAATTCTAAACTCTCTTCTTGACACTTGACTTCCACTCAAATAGAATTTCTTAGTGGGTTTTTAAGGATATGACAACATGATTATCTGAAGAAAAAAAAGTAACAATAAAACGTAAAGAAATTTCTTTTCAAAAATAAAAGTTAAATAAATCTACAATTGTAAAATTGTTTATATTGAGGATGATCCGTTTCACACTGTCTCAACGAGTGATGCGTTAAACTTAACAAATTTTATTATAATAGACTTTAATATTATATTAGAAAATGAATTTAAAATCAATCAAGAATAAAATCGATTTATAAAATAATATTTATTTTGACTTATATACCTAATTGTGATTGTTCTTAATAAAAAATAATATAAATTTATCGAAGTGAAAATGACAAGATTTCAAAAAAATACAATTTTCCTCTATAAAAGTTGATTGTCAAGTTGTTAGTAATAACTGATGAGAGATCAACGAAAAAGAAAATAGATCTCTCAAGGTAAAAATGGTGAAACTTTTATATGTACTATTGTTACCTGATGTGACGATAATTTATTTTCAAACTTGATCAACGAATTACTTTAATATAATGTGATGATCTTTTATTCTCAAGCAATCTCACATTATTAAGTACAACATCGAAGTAGTTTGATAATATATGATGATTCTTTATTTTCAAATGATTTTAAATCATTGTGATAATTGTTTGTTTTCAAATGTTCGAATCAATATGATGTTTGTTTAATTTTAAACATCTTCATCATCAATTACTTTGATTTGATGTGATGGTCATTTACTTTTAAATAGTTTTCAAATGATCAACGAATTACTATCTAACGTGGTGGTAATTTATTTTCAAACATGATCAACAAATTACTTTAATTCGATATAATCATTATTTTTCAAGTAATCTCACTTTAAGTACAACATTAAAATACTTTGATATGATATGATGGTCCTTTATTTTCAAATAATTTTAGATTACTGTGATAATTGTTTCTTTTAAAATATTTGAATCAATACGATGATTATTCAATTTTAAATAACTTCATCATCAAACTACTTTCTTCGAAGTGAGGATTATTTACTTTAAAATGACTTAGATTAAACATCAAATTACTTTGACATGATAATGATTGTTTATTTTCAAACAACATATTAGTTTGATTAAATATAATGATAGTTTATTTTCAAACTACTTTGAATTAAACACAATCAAATTAATTTAACATGATATAATGTTAATTTATTTTTAAAAAATTGTAAAATAAGATTTACTCTTAATTATTTTATCTTATCTTTAGTGTACAACATTTTACTAGAAAAATAATATTAAAAATTAATATATTTTTTTTATAATTTTAACTTTTTTTTTTCTTTATATTTAAGTGACAAAAAAAACATATGAAGTCTGAAGAAATAATTTTTATTTGTTGCTGAATAAAAAAAAACACTTTCTTTTCCACAATTTTGTTGCTGAATAAAAAAGAAACACTTTCTTTTCGTCAATTTATAACAATTATTTTTACTGTATAATTTTCTTTTATATTCTACATGTATAAATAATAAGTTGTTCTTGGACATATACTACAATAATTAATGATACATTTGAAAATATATGCATTTTTAATAATGATCAAAAATTCAAACACAAAACACTTTATTGCTTCGTACACATCATACAATGTGGTGAAGACAACCATTAATTATGTCAAAATTATGATACAATGTGATATTTTTTTTAATAATATGCTAATGTACATGTGCAAAGTAATGAGTTAATAAAGTTTAGGCATACCATAACCTCTACACAAGATGAAGTCCAATATTCTAAAGTGAGAAAGAAGATAGAAAAATAATGGATTGAAGCCCGTACATAAGAAACCCACTTGGTTTTGCAGCCAAATAGGAGAAAGGATGCTGCAGTCAAAATCTTAAGATAACAGTTTATGGATCTTTCATTAGTTTTGTCATTTTTATCCTATGGGAGACTTTAATTCACTTAGATTATTTCCATCAAAGAAGCCCTCTCGTAACCTCAAAGTCTCTGATTTTGTTGCATCAAACAACACTGCTGAGGTTCATTATCAGCACCGTAAGCCTTTCGTTTTCCAATAATCTAACATTAACCCGTAACAGCTTGAACAATGCCAGACCCGTTGATCTTTCTTTATCATTTTCTTCCACTAGTTTCATGTGTAGTTGCTCCAACAAAGTATATCATGAAAAGAAACAGTTAACAACACATGTACAGGTTATATAGTATGAATTAGCATATAAGTACTCGGCCGTTATGTAGTTTGTGTGATAGGAAATGATTTCTTCTTAATTTTCTCTAGGCTCCTCCTTTTATATATAGATATATATATAAAGTCAAACAGATAAGCAGTGCTAAAGGATAATGAGATGAAATAAAAGGGGTAAAGAAGGATGTTTCATTAGTTGTAGATGCGCTTACCAAACATGTTGCTAATGTTCATAAAAAAGAGTTTTTCAGTATCCACAGTAGCCATTTTGTTGTTCAGATGAGGAGAGCGGTTTCGGCCGTGGCCATTTAAAACAGTCAAGTGAACTGATAAAGAAGATAAAGTTTACGTGAGTGGCGTGTATGGTATAGTGATGATAGTAGAAAGGTAAATGCCTAAGTTATGATATGATAGAGAACAAGGGTGAATACCACTCTTGTATTCTGTTTTATTCTATTTCTGTTTCAGCTTTGGAAAAAAAAAATTGAGTGGTAATAATATAGTTAGAGTTGAAAATTTTACTGGACTGTGTAATTACTGTTTTATTTTTCTGATATCAAAGGTCCTGTGCTAATTGTTGTGATTGATTGGGAAAAAAAATTAACAGGAAGAAAAGTCGAATAGATATGAGAGATAATATTTTGAGGTCGTTTAAGTTTATAGAACTTCCTAACGACTCCTTATAATATTTTTATTCAACCATTTAATTTATTTCTTAATTTAATGTTTTATTCTTAATTAATCACAGCTGTCAAATGGTTTTCTTTATAAAAGTTTGGTGTTAAAATAATTTTTTCCAGAGGAATTAGATTCTGAAGTACGTTAATTAGTTGATGAACTCGATTTGGTATGTTAGAGTTCGAAGATAGAAAAATGATCGAAGCTTGGTACATTTTCAATGGTGTGGACACAATTTTCCAATTGTTTATCCACATATGTCTTACATTAGACGCAATAATGCTTTTGCCTACAATTAAATTAGATTGATTCACTATTACAAAGCATAAAAAACGAAATAAAAAATCTCTAAAAATCTGGAACAGACTCGACTCTATTCAAAAATAATAGAATGAGAATCCTATAGCATTTTTTTCTTAGAATCCTAAAGCATTTTCTTAAGAAATGTGAAGATTTGCAGCGAACAAACTTTAATGGTTGCTTCACAAACTTGTCATACAATGTGGGGGAGACAGAAACCGCGGACTCAAGTTTGGGACGATACCATCTAGACCAAATGAGGTCGTCGAAGAAGCTAAATTGAAAGAGAGGAAACAATAGTAATGGGAAAACCCCTATTGAAGCCACTACATATGAAACCCACTTGCTTGTGTCTTCAAATATCAGAAAACATGCTGCAGAGAAAGCCACAACCATAGTAGCAACAGAGATTATTAGCAAAGCATGTCCAAAAGTCAAGCTGGGATGTAATGATATCACAAATTCACTTTCTGCAAATCTTGATGAAGTGAAATTTGACAAGAAAGAGAGTATAGAAGCAGAAGAACTGAATAATGCTATTGCATTTGTGATGATGAAGACAACAAACCACTCATTTTTCTTACCACCTGGAACCGTCAGAGCAGCTGCAAACGCTACTGTAGCAACAAGTGTTGCCACAACCATTCCAGAATTCGCCATTCCTTTGGCTGATTCCTTGATCTCATCAGATAACTTCTTGTGTTCATCATAAAATACATCGATCGGTCTCTTTCCCTTCTTGTTTCTCACACTCCTTAATTCACTAGGAACTTTTTTTTCTACTTTCTATTTATCAACCAAAAGTAAGAGTCAAGATTTCTGGAACTGATGTCTTACAATACTAACTAATAATGAATGATTGAATAAGAATAAGGAAATGAATGAATTCTCACCTTGAACCATGCAAGCTCTTTTTGCATTTGAATGCTTGCTCTTAAACCTGATAATGCCTGGAATTGAAGTGGTAGATGCGCAGCCATGTGCAGAAGGGTGTTTCCTTCAATGTCCACTGCTCCTATTATCTGCTTTCTCTTAAAATCTATAAACCTAAAGTAATCAAAATGTCGATATTGAACAAGCAAGTGTCCTAGGTTCTGTCCATTATTGGGATCTTTTATGAATATTTGAAAATTTTGACTAAGAAGCAGTTTCACAGCCGAATCGTGTCCTGATTTTATTGCATCAAACAACACTGACGAGGGTTGAGTGATCAAATCCAAAATCTGTTCCTTTGGCAATGTCGTCACCTCAAGCCATATCATCGTAAACAATCTCAGATCCTCTGATATTTCTTTGTCATTGTCGTCCTCTGATCTCTTGTCTTTCGTGTTTTCACTGTCGTTTTCTGATTCCGAGTCTTCACTGTAGTCCTCTGATTTCATGTCTTCACTATCGTCCTCTGATTTCAATCTCATGTCTTGATTGTTGCAAGAAATTATTTACATAAGAAGAAAGAAAAAAGATGAACTGTTATTAATTAGGAAGCAACATTCTTCCTGTTTTTTTGTTTTATCTCAATTTAAGATATTTATAATTTACTCTTTGCATACAAAAAGTGTAAGATATTTACTCATCAGTTCATAAACTTTTGTATTGTCAGACTATCTTAACAAACATGTAATATAATACCATTATAGCACTGAATATTAACAATTATGGAGTAATTGATCCTATCTTTTTGTTTGCATAAATGCATAGATTTCTGAAATAAGAATTAAAATGAAAATTATATGAAATTGTTGTCAAAGAATATACAATCAAAGAAAGAACAAAAAACATTTTGTACTTGTGAAAGCTTACCTATAATTTCTGAAGGCTTACGCGCCAGCATATGTAATGCTGTTAGGCTCTCTCCTGCCTCTTGATATCTTGCAATGGCCAATCCATGTAAATGTATATCACATATTTCTGATGCCACATCTGTGAAATGCTCAAATTAAATAGGTGATGGTGAACAACACATGTACAAATTTGACTATGAAACAGAAATTACAACTTCTCTCTTCTTGAACCCGCAGTTTTAAGTTGAACATGAATTCTCACTTATTACAACTGTCATTGTGTGTCCCTATTTGTACATAAAAAACAATTATAATATCTTCTATGTAATGGAGAGAACATGTGAACAATGTTCATGGGTTAGACAACTTTTGTAGATGGCAGTAGTCTTAATATAAGCCAAGAAAGTAGAGTCTCTGTTAAGACATCTACTAGACTAGATGCTAGAGTCTCTGTTTGATAATATCAGTTGAGTGGTTTTTATAACAAGTAGTAAAAGACAGGTACAATATTAAAAGAAAGGGATAAATAAGGTTGTTTAAATTAGTAGTAGATGTACTTACAAAACATGTTGTTGCTAATAGTCATAAAAAATAGTCTTTCAATATCCTGGTAAGCCATTAGGTCAAGGACTGGCTTAGAGCATAAATATAGCACCATTATTTGGTTGCCAGTTAAAACTGCCAAGTGAACTGGAAGCATCCCTTCGGAGTTTGGTATCAACAGGTCTTGTGGCCGGTTAACTAACAGCTTAACCAATTCTTCCACAAAAGTAGTGCTCTCTGCATCTGCTGCTACATGAAGAACTGTGTCGCCTCTTTCAGTCAATGGATCACATACAATGTCAGGATTATTTTCAACAATGGATTGCGCTGAGGACCAGTCATATGTGAGTGCAAGCCAGAACAGCCCCGAAGAATCTGTGCCTATACACACATTTTTTAAAGTGATTATACTTTTATTGTTAAAATTTAATTTTCTAACTCATTTATGAAAACAGTAGTTTGAAGAATATATAACTTACGCCCACCACGTGGTGGTGAGAAAGAATGTGAAGTACCTGCTGGTAAAGGAATCTGGTCATGGCTTTGATTATGTGGTGATATTGTAATCTCAATGTTGGGCACATCATCTGAAGCTGCTACTGCTACATCTGAGAAAGAATGTGAAGTACCTACTAGTAAAGGAGTCTGGTCATGGCTTTCATTATCTGGTGATATTGTAATCTCAACGTTCGACACATCATCATCTGAAGCTGCTGCTATATCAGGATTCATAATTTTCTAACTAAAATGAAGCCAATAAGTTAGACCTCAAAATTCCCAGTATTTTGGTGTTGCTTCCTTCTCCAGCCTCCTCAGCTTTATATTATTATAACTTCATTGATACAACAATATTCTCAAAAAGGATAAAATATGATAAATTTTTTATTACAATTATTCCAGACATTATTTTTTCAAATAGAAAATGTTTGAATAATATTTGAATAATTTAAATATTTAATTTATTTGTTTATTAAGTTATATATATATATATATATATATATATATATATATATATATATAATTTATATTAATACTTTAATTTTTAGCTATTATTTTTATAATAATATTTAGAAGATATATAAATACATTGATTCTATTATTATAAAAAAATGAATAGAATTAATTCATTTTCATTGTATTTCAATAAATATATAAAATAAATTATAAAAGCAAAATATTTATAATAAGTCAAAATAATAATTCAATTATAAAATTTTCAAATCATCAAAAAATGAATCAAATTGAACTTATTTGTTTTTAATTTATGTGTGGCACCCGTGATAATAAACTAAATTTGAAAATATGATAGTAAAGTAAAATGACTTATATTATTATTATTATTATAAAATTAAATATAAATAATTTTTATTTATTTTATAAGTAATTTTATAATTAAAAAATAATTAAGTTATAAAAACGGTCAAATTGAAAAAGATTGGTTAAATTAAAAGAAACAGTAAAATTAATAAAATAAATATTTTAATTTTAGAAAAACTTTTTCAAAAGTAAATTTGAAAAAAAAATTTAAACGCACAGAGGAGGATCCTTTATATGAAAGTGAATAAATTTAAAAAAAGTGAATAAATTTTAAAAAAAGTGAATAATTGTTTTTTGTGATATGAAATATGTTAGTTTTTTTCTCATTTATTGGAACTAAAAGTAACTACAAATTAAAAAAAGAAAAAATAAATAAAATTCAAAAGTAAAATGATGAAAATTGTCATATTATTAGGACATTTTAAAGAAACAATTAGGATGAATTGTTTCATAATCTGATTTAAGCTCTGTGCCAAGCTTATACATTCAATTTCGTTTTAATAGAAAAAATCTTAAAAAAATTCAGCTATTTCTTAAAAATATATATCATTTGTAATTTCTATTTTTTTTTAATTTTCAGAAACTGTTTTTTAAGTTCAAGGAATAGGAAGTAGTTTATAGTAACTCCAATGGAAATTGAAGAAACAATTTATTCAACTTAATATGCTGTATGATACAAAATTTCAACTTATGACAAACACAACTTGAGATCCACATTATTCTAAAGCATCTAAAATGTCAATGATTTGTTAGAGTGGAAAATAAGAAAAATTGTTGCTTAGGATAATAGAAAGAGAATACAATATATTTATTTATTAATAATCATAAGATAATTTTATTTTATTTATTTTTTGAAAAAATATTATTTTAATTTATTTTATTATGATAAATATAAATATAAATAAAAATATTATAATAGTAATTTATTATGTTTTAATATATTAATTATATATTCTTTTGTTTTTCTCTTTCACTTGATACAAACCAAGATCTCCTTGATTAGAAGTCCAAGGAATCAAATACCAATCAAAGATTTTTTCATCTGTCAATATTGTAGCCTAAGAAAAACAAAACTAATTGTTTTTTTCTTAACTATTAATTGTCAGTCAACATGGCAGCATGGTAGAATAACAAAGCAATTTCGTGGATGTTCTCTCTTAAATTACAAATAGACTAAAATGGAATATGAACACAATAAAGTATATAATATAATAATTTAGAGCATTTAGAGAAGTGAGTTCACATAAGATCTTAATAAACCTATGCATGAGATACTACAATAATGTAGATATACATCAATTACTTTAAATGAATATCAATAAAAAATTTGGTTTCTTTTACAAGGAAATAAAAAAAAAATATAAAAAAAAAAATATAAAAAAATTTTTATCAAAAAAAAACAAAAAAAAAAATAAAAAAAAAAAAAAAAGAATTTAAAAAAATTATGTAAAAAAAAAAAAAAAAAGAAAAAAAAAAGTTCATAAATCAATTCTTTTGCCTACTAAACCAAATATGTCCGAATAAACTCATGTGGTTAATTATCAACTTTAACTAGACATCTCCAATGAGAAAAACATAAAACAAGCTATGATTTAAAAGAGTCTCAAGATCAGAACACTTATTAGAATCTAACACATTTTAAGCCAAGTGTTTATTGGAATTTAAGAGTATTAGAGACAGTTTTCAGATTCATGAACAATTATTCATGAAGAGTTACAACTAATGAAAAGTTAGAATCATTCATAAAGAAATGTAACTACGTGAAGAGTTACAACCATTCATGAAAAGTTACAATAATTTATGACACTAGTGCAATCAAGGTATACCGCCTCGGTTATTTTCACTTATAGACACCGGTTCTACGACCGGTGCATATTCATACGATGTAAAAAGAATGGATTTTTTGGCTCGGTCCTGAACTGAATCAAAAGGATTCAGATTCTGACTCGGTTCACAGACAACCAAGGCAGTAGAGTTTTTTAATTTTTTTATTTTCAACCGAGATCAGTGTTGTTATGTTTGTTTATTCTCTTTGTGGTTAAACTTCTTTCTCTTTTCTGCAATTTTTTTCATCCATGTCTTTGGACAAAATTACTTTGACAAACAAACTCAGATGTCTAAGAAGGGGGAATAGGAAGCAGAGAGAGCAATTTAAGGTGAAAATATACTTTTGATAGATGGTAGATGTCCCATCTCATTTATGGGGTAGGTTGTGACTCTGCCGTTTATTTAATTAATCGAACCTCTTCTAGTGTGCTTAACTTTGACAGGCATTTTGATATGTTGTTTGATCATTGTATCCTTCTTAATCCCTCATAGTTTATTTACCACCTACATATTTTTGGATGTGTTATATATGTTCACTTACACCCACATCACCTACAAAAACTTGAAATACGCTATTCAAATATTTTTGTTGTGGTATGGATCCACAACAAAGGTTAACGTCTTACCATCCCACATCAAGGAAATTTTATATTTCTATGGAGTGACAATTTAATGACAACGAATTTTTTTATGTTGATGCTCCATTCCAAGGGAGGCCAATGAAAGATGAAGTGCCAATTATGATTTGGTATGTGTGATTGTGAAGATAAATTCTCGTGTGAGGATCATTCGTGCAGGAAGTGATTCACTCCTAATATGGACCCTTCTTTTCTGGATATACAGTGTCTTTATATCATAACCAATTGGCCAATCTTCTCCACAGGTTCACTGACCTTTTCAAGGTACCTTTTGATCCTATCTCTGATAATACTAATTTAAATAAATTGATTCATGGAATTGATCATGAACTTGTTTGCGGTGAGACCAGCCAAACACCAAACACTGAGTCTACTACTGTTCAATATATTCTTCCACCTCGTTCTAACCATGGTCAATCTCCAGTTAAATATGAACCAGACCTCCAAGCCAAAGTTAAATATCTCATTAGTAAATATGTGTCATCTCACAGGTTTTATCTCAGTCATATGCATCATTTGTATCTCAATTTCTTTAATTTCTATTCCTAGTAATGTACAGTGAAGCTTTGGCAGATCCTAGATGGACCGAAGCAATGGTTGAGGAGATGGTAGCTTTAGAAAAAACACACTTGGGATCTTGTGGTCCTTACCAAGAATAGAAGAAAATTGTGGCCTGCAAATGGTATCTTTACAATTAAGCATATAAGCTTATGGAACTATTGAGAGGGTATAAAGCACGACTGTGGCTAAAGGTTACACCCTCATCTTATGGTGTATATTAGCAAGAGACGTTCCACACCCGGTAGCCAAGCTCAATCCTGTGAGAAACTTTTGGTCGGTAGCTGCAAACCAAGATTGGCCTCTCTATAATTTGAATGTGAAAAATGCTTTCCCTACACGGAGAAATTTCAGAAGAAATTTATATGGATTTCTCCACCAGGCATGACTGATTCAATTGAAATGAAGGTTTTGCAAATACAAGAAGGCTCTCATATGGATTAAACAATCCCCAGAGCATGGTTTGGAAGGTTTACCAAGTCTATGAAGGCTTTTGGCTATAGAGCAAGTAACTCTATCACACCTTTGTTTTTTAAGAGAGAATGAAATTACTGATATGTAATGCGACATGATTGTTACAGGAAATGACCAGATTAGATTTCCTATTTACAACAATACCTTGCATCTGAATTTGAGATGAAACAACGTGGAAAACCTCAAATATTTTTTTGGGTACTTGAAGTCGAGCTAGATCAAAACATGGTTTTTTTCTATGGCCAAGAGAAATATACAGTTGATTTACTATACAAAAACTGGGCTTCTTGGGAGTAACATACTGATCACCATTGAAAAAATCATAAAACTTTTTTCAATGCTCTATATCAGCAAGCATAGACAAGGGAAGATACCAACAACTGGAGGAAAATTAATTTATTTGGTGCCATCCATACACGTCCAGATACACCTATTGCATGAATGTTGTTAGTCAATTATGGCATGACCACGCGGAAGCTTCTATGGATGTTGTTGAAAAGGATTTTGAGATATTTTGAGTCCGCTCCAGGAAAAGAAATTTTGTTCTCAAATGCAATGAATAACTTAAAGGTAAATGGTACACTGATGTATGATTGACAGTCCCAAAAGAATATAGAAGAATCTACCTCGATATTTTACTTTTGTAGGAGGGAATCTTGTAACTTGGAAGAGTAAAAAACAACCGTATGCTAAGGCAGTCCTAGGCTGCAGCAAATTCAGAGTACTTTTACTATATATTAATCATTTCATTTTATTTTATCACGAGAACTTGTAACTCACTTTGATCCCTACCAGTTGATGCTATGATTAGAGCTTTACGAAGACCGGTAAATTATGGTTTAATCATTCCATCGAAGTCCCTATTTTCGCGTGAAGAATCTCAATTTAGTCCCGTTGTTATGGAAATCTCAATTGGGT